ACCCTTATTCTTTCCTGGATTGCTTAAAAAAGACTATGTCATACTTCGTAGAACTCTGAAGACTGTCAGTAGGGCGAGTGGTATCCCGTTGGATCATATCGTTGACATTGTCATTGATAGGCACTTGATGTCATGCAACAAATTTGCTAAAGGAATTTTGTCAGACTGTGAGCATTCACCGCAGCACATGCAGCTCCAACCTTATGTTTCCTCAGGTAAAACAAGAATTCATTTCAAAAGACTTTATGCGCGTACATCTAAGTATAAAAATTCCACTATACCATATTTGACGGCACGTATTTTATGTGATGAAAATAGTGTCAGGCATGAACTAACTAACTAACCTTCTTTGCACTAGTGAATAAACCATTTTCTCCACCCTTATAACATCAAGCTTTATTGTTCTTCCTATATTTATAATACCCACAATTTTTTAAAATTTTTTTCTCAAAAGTGTTAGCATCATTTAAACTGTGTTATAACTGTTAATTTTGCATTTCCCCTCACCATACTATATCAACAGAACATTAGATTCAATAATCTATAACATGCTAAAATTTCCAAACTGCATTGACAGTACTGTTTGAAACAAACTCACTGTTGTCATTATTAGTATTCTCGTTTTGTACTTCGAATATTTTTGACTTTATATCGTAAACGTGGACAAATTCCTCTGGTTAATTTTGTTTTAATTTTTAATTTTATTTATATTTTAAGTAAATCAGATACAATATTGTGACAAATCGGTGGCACAGCGGTAGAGTGCTCGCCGACGACGCCTCAGTTGGTCTGGGGTTCGATCCCCGGCTGGCAAGGCACTCCTTTACCTGGCTACGCCAGTAGTAAGACTGGTAACTGGGGAAGGTTGGGCCTGAGGCTAGCAACTCTATCCTTTAAAAATAATCCGCACTACTACAGAAACTACAAGACTCTAGCTTGAAGCACTATGTTCCACTGGGAACGTAAAGGAATAAAAAAAATTGTGACAAATGCTGAGAATTCCATTTTGTATTAAAAGTAATGTATTTGGAACAAAGTAGATTATTATTACTATTATTATTGTTATTATTATTATTACTGTTTACAAATTGTAAATTGCATAAGATTCTATCCAGTCTCTCTTCAAGTTGTTTTGTATTCACAATGACCCATGCTTTCTAAATGACTGAACAGTTGTCTAATTTATGTGCATTACCTGCCTGAAAATAGTTCCCGTTATTTCACATCCGGCATCTGATCCTCTAACTACTTTATAAGGACGATATTATTATCATCGGGTGAAGCTTAACATCATGTTTTCAATAACTTCTTGGGTCATAAACATGCATTATGCATCGGTGGTTCGAAGCGGTAGAGAAGGCCCAACCAATCACACTACACATGCTCCGGCGTTCGATTCCCGCGCCGGCGAGACTCATAAACCTCTCTTAACTCTAGTAGTAAGGCCGCGGTAAAGAAAGAAGGCTGATCATAAGGCTGTCAACTCCACCCAGTATAAATGATGATGCCACTGCTACTGGAATTTCAAAGCTCAATATCCCACCTAGTATAAAGAGTATTCAATGTTGATTAATTTAGAGACTGACTAAATGATGTTCTAATTTAGAAGCTGTGCCCATCTAATGTCTATCCATGGGGATAATTTCTCAGCTATGATTGTGATTGGACTGTTTTGTAAATTTAGAGAAATAAAGCGCTGAAATTCGACTCAGCAGTCTAGTAATGGCGTATTATTATTATTTCATTTAATTCCTAGAGGAGCATAGGGCTTCAGCTGCACATCTCCATTGCGTTCGGTTCTCTGATAAAGTTTTCACCTGGCTCCAGGTCTGCCCACATGGTTTCATCTCCTCTTCACATGACCTCCTCCAAGTCACCCTCGCAATGAAGACCAACTCGCCATTTCCCATTCGTTTTCCACTCGAGCAATGGCTTGTCTAGTGCTGTCACCTGATGGTTTCCTCAGAGTATGGCCAATCCACCTCCATTTCTTCGTGCTTATTTGTTGCACAATCGGTACCTGATTGGTTTCCTCCCAGAGATCCCTCCCTGTTGCTGATCTTTTCTGGCCATCTGATCTTGAGTAGTATTGAGCGAAGACAGCTGTCAATGAAGGTCTGTAGTTTGTTTGAGATGCTCTTTATGACTCACTGGCCAAGTCTCTGATCCGTATAGTAGCACTGACTGACTTCACATTGGAGTTGAAAATCCGGACCTTATTTTCATTTTCATGCTGAGTGCTGCTGACCTCCACACAGACTTGAGAGTAGTGAAAGCTTGTCTTGCTTTTCCGATCCTCACTGCTTTGATATCCTCGTCAGTTCCGCGTGTAGTTGAAACGATGCTTCCCAGGTAGGTAGGTAGGTAAAGGAGGTTGTTTCTTTCAGGTTCCTTCCATTAATGCTGATTGTTGTCTTTTGATGTGGCTGTTACTGATGCTGTTGGTGTTGGTCAGGAATCTTCATCATCACATCTGTTTTCTCTATGTTCACCTGAAGTCCTATCTTTGATGCTTGTTCTGCCAACTTGTTGCTTTTCACTTGCATATCTTCCAGTTTGTGTGAAATCAGACATATATCATGGGCGAAATCCAGATCCTGCGACCTTTTTGTGTGGGTCCGTTTTATGCCTGTTTCCTTGCTGCTCGCCGCTCTTTCTCATTATCCAGTCTACCGCAATCAGGAAAATCATTGGAAATAGTAGGCAGGCAGCCAGCTTGTCTTACTCTCGTCTTCACTTCTTCGAGGGATTCCGTGAGTTTCCCGTTGTGGATTACTTGACATGTAGCGTTGTCGTACAACTGTTGGATGAGATGTATAATTGTCGGCGGCATCCCGTAATAGCGAAGTAGTTTCCAAATCACCTCTCGATCGACGCTGTCTGTCGAAGGCCTTTTGAAAGTCGATGAAGTTGAGATAGAGAGGTGACTGTCATAGTAATTGGCATAAATACAATATAACTAATATGATATTCGTAGGCTCAATTCAATAGGAGAGATCGTGAAACTACTGTCTATTGGTTCTTTGTTTCGAAAGGCCTTTTCTGTCAGTCAGTCTGTCTTGTGCTGAAATTAATCGATTTCACAAAGACTCTAATAATAATAAATATTCTTTTCTCTTTTCTTGTTAATTGTATATTATTTAAGTTGAATCACTGTTATTCATCAGGTAAGGTTGGTTGGTGCCTTAAAAATGTGAGGTCAACTTGAGAATTTTGAAGAAAATTGATTGGTGGCAGAGTTTAGCCGCCATCATTGCAATTGATTGCAATAGAGCTAATGGAATTTGTACGATTTGAAGCAGTTTGATGTGATGAAAAAGGTTTACATATCTGACTGCGCAGTAATTATTTACAACTCAGTAAAGATACTATACTAGTCTTAAACACGGAAGTCTTCTGTCGGTTGCCCTCAAAGTAGTAGTAGTACTTTAAGATGTTACCAAAACCTGGCGACGAACCATTCACGATCAAGTGTCAAAGTTGGGGATAAAAACGAAATTTTTTACTTTCAAACTTAGGTATTTCGACTGATAACAAACTATATTCATTTTGATTGTATAGTGATTGTGTTTTGAGTTGGTGTATTGTTTAGGTAAATCGACTCAGAGTTCTGCTGTAAGGTATCAAACCTCACTTTACACTGGGATTACTATACCAGCTTAACGAGGTTTAGGAGTGCATTGGACAATGAATTGTGAACCCCCAAATCAAGTAAGGTGGGGTTTGTAAGCATTCTACCTTTGAGCCACCTTTCTTTTACACCGTGTTATTATCATTGTCAGCAAGCGATCCTTTGCTTTGACTCTCTTGATTTACGCTCATTAATAAGTACAACATTACGCAGTTAAGAAATTTTTATACAGCCTTACTCCTGAACATATTGCTGCTTTTCTATGTCTTTGATGATAGGTGTTTGCGTTCTGTCCCTCGTGTTAGGTGGTATATATGGTAGTGTGAGCAATATTGAGGTGAGGCGTTGGTCGAGTGCTGGGTAGGTAGGGGAGAGAATCAGTCAACGAGACTGTGAAGTTACACCGATTGAGATGGTTAAGACGGGTGGTGATGTTAGCTGACATAGGATGGATGAGGTTGGAAAAGAGTTAGCTAGTGTTGGTAGTGGTAGTGGTGGTCAAACGAAAACATGACTTCATCAGTCAATAAAATCCACAACAGTTAGTTTAAGCCAGCCAGCCAGCTAGACAGTGACGTAGGGAAGTGTAGACTGACTACCTGGTTGTGGTGTTCGGGCTGGTAAGAACCAGTGGCTGGAGACAGTTGGTGATACGGCTGAAAATCGTTCTGAATGGTTGGCGCAGATTTGCTCACTCTTTGTATTTATCATATCTAATGCGAGTCTACTATTCTTCCATATTACTATTGTTTTTGCCTCACATTTGTGTTTATTATCTCTCGTTACTCTGTTCTATTGCAACGTGGAGTGTGGCGACCCGAACTGGTGCACAGCTGTGCAAAGTTTCACGTTGAAACTAGTCAATCAATCAGTCATTCTCTCATTTTATCATACTATTTTAGTGGAACATTTTAGTTGAAATGTTCTCAACAAAATTATAATTTCACTTGTTAGATTTTTGTCACAAACCAACATATAATTGAAAACCACTAGAGGGGAGTACTGGACAAGTGTTTCGTCCTATTTCGGGACTCCTCGTCATCAGTGCTCATCCACAATCCCGCCGCCGGGGGTCGAACCCACCTCGCTTCAGGTGACGAGATGAGCATCCAATTCACCGAGACATTGGTAGACCTCATTTGTATGGAGAATTTAATCATTTTGCAATGAGTTACAGGATGAAGTAGGGTAAAACTCATTTATCATCTATTGATCCTTCAGTGAGCAAATCTATTATTCATCTGGGGACTTAATTACATATACTAGATGTGCAGTATCCTGTGTAATTGAGTGTACAATGTACATTTTATTGTCTACAAAGTAACTGTAACCGTATTTTTTGTTGTTGTTGTTGTTTGTTATTCTTCAGTGCCTCAACCATCATCATCGTTGTCAGCATCAATTCTGTCTACAGATCAAATGAATTTCATGACTCCAAATAACAATACAAACACACCATATTCTAATTACCATCAAATACCAAATCCTCAAACTGATTTTAGTCATTTATTTTATTCACATATGTCATATCCTCCTACTTCAGTGATACCACCACCCCCAGCACCACCCCCGCCAGCACCATCATCTGTTTCAGATCCAGCATCACCTGTCTTCCCATCTCCACCGTCTACTACAGCAAATCCCGGAAATATTTTTATGCCCTCCGGTTATTCTATGAATCATCATCATCAATATAATCATCATCACCATCACCATCCGACAGCTTCTGTTGTCTATCCAGTGGCAGCAGCCGCCGCTGCAATGGCTGTTGCTACTGCTGTAGCCGCGGCCTCTTTTCAACCGGTTTCATCGTCATCAGCCTCCTCCTCTTCTTGTGATCAGCTCTATTCGACAATATCTTCTTCAAATGGGGGTGGTGCGGGTGAGTTCAGTTCTCAATGTACACGGAACATCTTACAACAACAACAACATAATAATGATATCGATTTAAACCAAGGCGAATCCGTCTCTCCATCGCCTTATACAAATTCAAATCTACCTGGATCACATCTATCTGTTAGCGGTTATCCGGATATTATTACTCCTCGAGCATATCCTCTTACAACTTCATCTACTCATATAATGGATCACTGTCAAACGTCTTCTTATGATTCTGAGTAAGTGAAATGCTGTTTTTTTGTTAAAAAAATTATTGAATGTGTATTTTTACATTACATCAATACATTACTACCAGTGGGGGGCGGTGGATAGGTTTATAAAATCTCTCTCTGCCTCTCTCTCAGTCAGTATAGTGTGTTAGTGAGACATCTCAGTAATCTGTGGATAGATCGGTTGTCTTGAAAATGGATCAATCGGTTGTCTCATTGATGATGATGGCTAGACAGACAGACAGACAGATAGACTACTTATGGATTTAATCTTTCTCACGCCTACGCCATTGATGATGTATATATATATATATATTCATTGTTACTTCTGTAAAGCATACTTTTACCTCGGCCCCACCTCATGGTGTGTTCTCACTTAAGTAAGTAGCGGGCTGGGGGAACAGGTGGTTGTTGGCGTAGACAAGCGATATTACTCGTGATTACTACCGTGTCCGCCACCACTAGATCGTGCGTCGTCCTTCTTATTTCAACCCAACGTTTTGAAAAATATAAAAATGGCCGACGGAGATGTTAAATTTTTCGAAGTTGGGACAAATTACTTGAACAACAAATGGAAATTATTGAGTTGCTCACATACTCGAAGATTTCCGATAGCGAATCATTCCAGATCACTTCAAGGGAGATGGAATTTGACTACTATCCTGATGCCAATAGGACACTTCATGATTGGTTTAGGAGATATCAGGATAACTCTAAAGTGGATTTTGCTGAGCAATATAAAGTGAAATTCAACTGTCACTGTCAAAACCACATTGACCTTGAACATCCAACCAGAATTCAGATGCAAAAATAGTCGCATAATCGTTGAAAAATACACTAAAAAATATTGCAAACATGATATAACTCTGTGTAGTTGTAGCTTATGTGTTGTAAGAATGAATGTCTCCCAGTCAAGTTTACACAGATGATCTATAGAGAAATCGTACCGTGCGCGCGATATATCCATTCATCCAGGCGACTGTAGGTCATGGTACTTTGAGATCTTTGATTGGACACTAGTAACTAGTGTTATGCGTCTATTCCTTTCTGCTCTTTATTGCAGACTGAATTCTATCAGTCAGGTTTGCAATATGGCCACCATGCAACTAGGTGGCTCGCCATCACGGTGCACAGTGATTTGATTATATTAGATGGTTGGAGGCAATCGGCAGGAAGCCATCATGGCGAGCTACCTAGAATGGTGGCCATATTGCAAACCTGACTGATAAAATTTAGTCTGCACCAAAGAAAGGACTAGACGCATAACACTAGTTACTAGTGTCCAATCAGAGTACCCACTACAGTCCTACAGGAGGTCAATCGCGAGCCCAAATAACTCAGTGGTAACGTCTCTGACTGTAGAGCTCACTGGGTGACACGGGTTTGAATCTCCTCATTAGGGATATGAGTTCCTTCATGGTTGCAGATACACCTTGCTGACTGATGAGTGCCAGTTAGCACGAAACCTAGGTCCCAAGGCTTCCTTCCGATTGCCTCCAACCATTTAATATAATCAAAACTTTGAGATCTATCTATTTATTGATACTCCTAACTCTAACCACAGTCCTAACTTTAACCCCTAAACCTAACCTTAACCGTAGATCCTGAACCTTAATCTTCAACGCCAAAACTCTAGGGTTAGGTAGCTACTATACGTAGAAAAATTACCTAGTAAATAAGTAGAATACTGTATCTATCCCCTCCAAGTCCAAAAGGGCAGGCATGATTTGATTTGGAATGACATTTCGCATAGCATTCCCTGTGTGTTTGATCGGTCCTTGTCGGTCGACTTCTCAAAGACCGTGACTTTGGCTATGATCATTCAGCTTCGCCCAAGATAATTCCTAGAAGTCGTGACCAGTAGGGTGCAGCTGGTCGGGTGTGAGGACAAATACTCGCCGAAGACATTGGCTAGGGGTCGTGCTATGTCATTAATTGGCAGAAGTTAGAATTCATGGGCTGGCCATTGGATCGGGTCCCAGTGTCTCAATGGTCTACGAGCTCGTTCGCCAGCCTTGTAACCAGAAGGTCCTGGGTTCGAGCCATGTCGGTATGTGCGTACTGCTGAAGAGTCCCAGAGTAGGACGGAGGAAACAGCTGTCCAGTACTCCTAGCTGGTTTTCCAAAGGTTCTTTAACTAATGTCAGCTCATGATGAAATCCTGTAACCAATCAAATCCCTACAAACCACCAACACTTGAGAATCTGAATAGTTTGGTCAAATCAATCAATGGGAAAATCAAGATTGAATTCGAAATAAATGTAATAGCTGATATCCATTAGACAAGAGGTGGTAACTCTCGTGGCCCAGGTGGTCTAGTGTGGATAACGCTTTGCCGTTTGAAACAATAGGTACAGGGTTTGAGCTTCACTGTGGATTGCAGATACACATCGACTAGCTGACGATTCCCAATTAGGACAAAATGTAACGCATCCTGGATTTCACTGCTAGTCACCATCCACGAAATATTACTTCGAGATATCAATTCACAGTCTAACATTATTCCCGCAGTTAGGGGGTGGTTGGTGAGTAGATGTGAAATGAGAAATTAAATTTTGACAGCTGTCTACAGGTTACTTATCTAATACCTTGCTGACTAAACTATGCTTATCTAGTTGTTGTTAGAAATCATAGGCCTGTCCAACTGCGAAATTAACATTGGTGGTCGCAAACAAATGTTCCCATTCAGCTTCGTGCCTCAGTTACGGCGAATAATCCGGTTGGGATTGCTGGCGTAAGCATGTAATCCAGCTACTTTGAAGACTAGGGTTCTGAATTTCATGGAGCTGGGAGTTTTGGCGTATATATGCTCGGTGCTGGTATGGATGACCTGTCAGAGGAGTGTGGGTTGTCCAGACTAACTAAAAAGAGGTGGCGGACCCCCACCTAGGGATGAGACCCAGCAGGCAAAAGTCCCCGCTTTCATTAACCCCTCTCCTTGACGTCATATCTATCTCTCCGCTATCCGACAGTTTTGTACCGATGAACATCTCTTGATATATTACTGATAAGTTATGTCAGTATCACAAGCCACAATTGAGCAAGACCTAAAGGCTTCTGGCTTAGTCGATTTCAGTCATACGGTCATTTTAAATAAAGTATGAGACACTACCTCAACTAAATAACTAAATAATACTTACCTAATTATATCCAGACAGAAAAATGACCTCATTATTCTTACAATTAGCATATTTATACTCTGCGAGTGATGAATTCACTTAACTTGTAACCAAGTTTTATTCTAGCCTTTTTCTCTTGTCATTCATTGTTTATGTACACAGTGTGAATATTCATACACAGAATTTACACAGAATTCCTTTTCTCTCTTACTCTGTTTTTCTTGTTATTGTTGTCATTGTCTATGCTGTGCACAACACAGATTGATCACTCACAGTTATTTAGTTAGTTAGTTAGTGTGTGTGCGTGTGTGTAAGTATTCAGCTAAGGTGGTTATACAGTCTACACATATTAAAAGTTAATTGGTGGATGGTAACTGGCAGGATAACGCGAGTTTTGTCCTATTTGGGACTCGTCCGCCAGCTGGATGTATCTGCATTCCGCAGTGAGTAGTGAGCCACCTCTTGTGCAACGGGTCATATTTATTATTTAACTCGTGACCCAAGTGGTCTAGTGGATAACGCCCTTTGGCGTTTGAAACTATGGGCACTGGGTTCGAGCTTCGGTGGTCGGAAAATCATCACTCACTGACTGCGGAATGCAGGTACATCCAGCTAGTTGACGAGTCCCAAATAGGACGAAATGTGCTTTATCCTGGTGGATTCCACTGCTAGGCACCATCCACCAATTAACTTCTAATTACTTGATCAGGCATCGTCGAAGCATCTACACAAGAAGGCCGACATGTCAACGTGAGAGTGAGCACTTTGGTCCAATCAATCGATGGGAAAATCTAAAATTGAGTCTAGACGTATATTACAATAAAGGTTTTTGTATTTCCCAATGAATGAAAAACAAAACGATATTGTTTTTACTGACGTTTCGCTATTTAATGCTAATAGCTTTATCAAAGTATTATTAAACCGGAATTTACAAAATCTCAGCATATTTATAACAAAGAGTTAAGGGGTGAGAAAATAGACTTAGGTCAAGTTAAATAGGACATATTGAAAGTCAAAATGACAATGAAGATCACTAAACCAAATAACAAAGGTAATAGTACATCTGTTATGATATCAAAACAAAGTTTACTAACTTGATCATCGTTCGTTAGTCTGGGGGCATTTTTCGTTGTCAAGTTGGTCAATTGGTAAAGATAACAAAATCAAGTGTGGATTGTTGGATTTGATCAGTGTGTAAAATTATAAAAGTAGTGTGTGTTTACATAGTGAACTTGCATATCACATTCGTGTTGATTTTGTCACTTCATGGGAGACGGCATGGGGTGTTGTAACCAGGTCAGATTCTGTTTTAGTTCATCATTCCTATTCAGGCAATTTGGATTCCACTTGATATGAAGTGCTTCTGATGATATTAGACGTTCTTTGTGATTTCTGAAGTTTTTCTGGATTATTTCAATATTGTCAAAATCAATTTTGTGGCCTGATTCTATAGCGTGTAGACCTATGGCTGATGATTTTTCAAGTTTTTCTAGTTCAACCGGATTTCTCGGTGGTCGAAGAGATGCTCTACGGTGTTCATTTCTTCTGATTTTGATTTCTCGAGATGTTTGTCCGATGTATATCGCATCACATTCCAAGCATTTTATTTTATAGACACAATTAGATAGAGAATCTTTAGGGATTTGGTCTTTTATATGGACAAGGTTGTTTCGTAGTGTGTCTGATGTTTTGAAGAAAACTCTAATGTCGAGCTGATTGAGTACTCTTCTGATATCGTCTGACGTCTCTGCTCTATATGGAATGACGACTGTTGAGGTTCATGTTTTCGGAATGCGTTTTCGGCCATACTTAATGTCTGTGTTGATTTTGTTGATGAAGTTCGTTGGGTATTTGTTTTGCTTGAGAGTCTCAGTAATGTTTGATATTTCTTTTTCTTTCTCATCTGTTATCAGAGAGTGTGCTCGTCTAAAAAGACTTGAAACAACTGAAATCTTTGCGCTGATGGGGTGTGATGATTTGAAGTCTAAATATTTATTGGAGTGGGTTTTCTTCCTGAATATGGATATACTAAAATGTCCGTTTTCCTTTCTCTTAACTAGGCAGTCTAGAAATGGTAGTTCACCGACGTCTGATTCTGCTTCCGAAGTAAACTGGATTCTGGGAGATACACAGTTTATTTTCCCGAGGAATGAACTGTGTAGATCTCGTTTTAGTACTACAAAAGTATCATCTACATATCTTAACCATATTTTAGGAGTGAGTATTCTTGAAAAGATGTTATTTTCGAATCTATTCATGAAAAGGTCGGCGACTATTGGGGAGACTAGTGAACCCATAGCAACACCATTTATCTGTCTATATAAATTCCCTTTAAATGTAAAATAATTACTTCCTAGACAGAATTTCAAGCTCTTAATTATTTCACTGGTGTCCAGTGGACATCTTTGTGATAGCATTGTATCTGATTCTAGTAGACTAGAAATGATATCAAGACTTTCGGTAATAGGGATACTAGTATATAATGAGTTAATATCATAGCTTACTATAATGTCTTCTTTATCAATTTCTCGGTGTTCTATTTGGGATTTGAAATCATATGAATTTCTTACAATATTTTGAGTGTCCTTTTGTAGTGGTTGTAGTATCGAGAGTAAGAATTTAAAGAGGTTGTATGTTGGTGAGTTGGTGAAATCTATTACTGGTCTTAATGGAACTGTGGGTTTATGTATCTTTCTGGTTGACCGCAGAATCTTCAAGGTACATAAGATTTTGGTTTTAGTTTTTCATTCATTGGGAAATACAAAAAGAGACCTTTATTATAATGAATATCATATGCCCAATGCCCAAATTTTTTCAAACCGTTAAAAGTGAACTTGGTTTGGACATATATAACTACACGTATATTGCTCATTTATTCTCAGGACTAATCAGAACGGGATAATGTTCTTGTGATAGATTATCGAAGTGAACTGTACAGCTTATCGATAATTTGATGAGATGATGATACTTCCGGTTATATATACTTCCTAATAAGACACAAATTTCTTATTTTCTTTTGATTTTTTTTTTTCTAGTGATAAACTTGGAAATCAATCGATTTCTGAAAGAATCCTGGATCATCATTTGTCTAAAATGATCAATAAAGCAACAGCAGCAGCAGCAGAAGAGGAAGAAGAAGAAGTGGAAGTCGAAGTAGACCACCAGCAACAACAACACCAACACCACCGACACCACCACCACCACCAACAACAACAGCAAATGCTTCTACATCAAACCAGTAAAAAGAAATATCTAGACAGCATTGAATTTCTTAGTCCACATATCCTTCCACCTTCAGAAAGTTTAGTCGGTCGTCTATCTTTAGATAGTCGGCATCAATTCGCGCAAAGATTCTCCTGCTCCTCCTCCTCCTCCGCAGTATCATCAGCGACGACATCATTGTTAGATAGTTATGCTGCCGACCCGAATTTACATCATATAGATAACAGAGAGATGAATGAACACCACCAACACGAACACCAACAACTATCGAATGATGAATTTATACAATTCCACAAAACATTCCAATTGGGTAGATCGTGTGAGTCTAGTAATAATAATAATAGTAATAATAATGAATAATAATCATAATCCATTGATTATGACATCATCAAAGCTATTTCACCATGATGAACATCTAATCTCGAATGTATCAAATCATTTATTGCTGGAGAATGCTACCGCTGCTGTCACGACTAACACTGATGATGGCATAAATAATAATAATAATAATGCCAGTAATAGTAATAACAATAATAATAAACTGTATTCAGAATCACTAAAATCTTTGAGTATGCCAATATTTAATAACACCTATCGACGGCTGAATTCTATGAATACAGACCGAGACAAGTCTACAGATCGAATCCATTCAGATACTGCTAATACTACTGATAATAGTAGTACTGTCTTGTTTAAAATGGAGGATAATTTGTCAAATTTCCCGTGTAACTCTGCACCACAGCAGCAACAGCAACAACAACAGCGTTATTGTCTAATCGATTAAAAGATAATGATAGTTCGAATATTACAATAATGAGCAGTAGCAGTGGGAGTGGGAGTGAGAGTCGTAGTGTCTGTGGTGGTGTTAGTGGTATTGGTGGTATTATTCCTTCTGTAAGCACTGTCAATTGTGAATCATTGAGTGTGCTGACACGGGATATGATGCGAGCTTATTTAATGGATAGACGGGATCAAGTATTGATTATACTGCATGCAAAAGTTGCACAAAAATCTTATGGAACAGAAAAACGGTAAGTTGTTTGTCTTTATTTTTTGTCTGTTTATTATTATTATTATTAAGTTGAGCAGAACAACATTATGTAATTAAGAGATTTTATACAGGCTCACTCCTGAACATATTGCTCCTTTTCTATGTCTTTGATTATAGGTGTCTGCGTTCTATCTCTCGTGTTAGGTGATATATATGGTAGGGTGAGCAATATTGAGGTGAGGCATTGGTCGAGTGCTGGGTAGGTAGGGGGAATCAGTCGACGAGACTGTGGAAGTTACACCAATTGAGATGGTCAAGACATGTGTACATGTCCAACTAATGTCAGCTCATGATGAAATCCTGTAACCAATCAACCAAATGCCTACAAACCAACACTTGAACATGTGTACCTGTGTTGCGCGAATGCCTAGCGCCATCGCCTTCCTCGACGGGCGGCGATGTTAGCTGACATAGGATGGATCAGGTTGGAAAAGAGTTAACTAGTGTTGTTGGTGGTCAAACGAAAACATGGCTTCATCAGTGAATGAAATCCACAACAATTATTTTGAGCCAGCCAGCCAGTGACGTAGGGAAGTGTAGACTGACTACCTGTTTGGGGTTTTCGGGATGGCAAGAGCCAGTTGCTGGAGAAAATTGGTGATACGGCTGAAAATCATTGTGAATGGCTGACGCAGATTCGCTCACTCTTTGTGATTTATCATATCTAATGAGAGTCTACTTTTCTTCCATATTACTATTGTTTTCGCCTCACACTGTGTTTATTATCTCTCGTTAGTCTGTTCTCTTGCAACATGGAGTGTGGCAGCTCGAACTGGTGCACACCTGTGCAAAGTTCTACGTTGAAATCAGTCAGTCAGCTATTTTTCTATGTAAAAGTGGTGATGACAGCAGTGTGAGCGGGAAAAACAATATGGTTTTACTGGTTATTGTAGATCACAAATAGTGTATGCGTCCTCACCAATGAGAACTATTTTGAACTATCTCACCAATTTGTTTTTAGCTGTCAGCTGGTTCTTCGAATCTAGAGGACCCGGCAACCCCGTCAATCAGTCTACACCTCTCTCTGTCTACATGGCTAGCTCAAACTAACTGTCAACTCGTTGTTAAACCTGCAACCAATCAAATCCCTCCCTCTCTGTAAACCTCATTACTATCAAGTATCAGTAAAGCACGCGTAAACCTTTATCAATAGCTGTCTTCTCTCAATACTCCGCTCAAGATCAGATGGCCGGCCAGAAAAGATCAACAACAGGGAGGGATCTCTGGCAGTGAGCGAACCAACCCAGCAGGAACCGATTGTGCAACAAATATGCATGCAGGAAGAAATGGAGGTGGATTGGCTGGGCACACTCTGAGAAAACAAACCATCAAGTGAGTGACATCACATGCCAGGTTATCGCTCGAGTGGAACCCGGCCGAATGGGAAGCTGCGAATTGGTCGTCAGTGCAAGTGTTACATGGAGGAATTTATATAAAGGGGAGATGAAAGCATGTGGGCATACGTGGAGCCAGGTGAAGAGGTTGTCAGAGAACCGAACGCAATGGAGACGTGCGGCTGAAGCCCTATGTTCCTCTAGGAACTAAAGGAAACAGTAATAATAATAAATAATAAAGCACGCATAAAGCTGTGCAATACCTTGTTATAGCATGCGAAATTACCTGTATGTTAAATAATAATTGAATAAGATTAAGCCAATTAACTGGTAAAAATATAATAAATGCTAGACATCGGTGCGTCGGTGGCACATAGGTAGGATGCTCGCCAACCACGCATGTGGTCCGAGGTTCGATCCATCTAATACCAACAATTCACAGTGCACCATAATGGCGAGTCACCTAGCATGGTGGCCACATTGCAAGCATGACTGGATTCAGTCTGCACCGAAGATAGGACTAGATACATTACACTAGTTACCGACTAGTGTGCAATCAAAAATATCCAGTACTGTCCTAAAGGAGGTCAGTCGCGAGCCTGAATAGCGCAGTGGTAACGTCTCTGACTGCAGCACTGGGTGACGCGGGTTCGAATCTCAGAAGGGACTTGAGTTCCTTCAAGGTTGCAGATATGCCTTGCTGATTAGTGCCAACTAGCACGAAACCTAGGTCAACCAAGGCTTCCTGTGGCCAATTGCCTCCAACTATCTAATACCGACAATTCACAGTGCACCGTAATGGCGAGCCACCTAGCGTGGTAGATCCATAAAATTAAAACACCACTGCTTCCGAAACTTCAAGCCTGTAACTTGAAGGTGCCCTATGTTCTTTCCACTGGGAATGTAAAGGAATAAAAAAAGTGAAAAAATCGATCAGTGGCTGTTGACATACTCCGTGTTTCATTCTACTGATCACCAGAGCGTGTTTACAATTTCAAAAGAGTATACATTATCTTCGCTAATGATATTCAAGCCTTTTTCATTGCATGCTCTAAAGGTATTGACTGTAATAATGTAATACAACATTCAAGTTATGACTAAAAAAACTTGTCGGATGGTAGTCATCAATGTTGCTATTTAATCTTAAGTTTGAATAACTGCAACCAACGGACCAATTGAAGTCCACTTGACAAAAAATTGTCTACCGCGATATCTTAACAAAAGGGACTAAGATATCCAAGCTATCAAAAGCCAGTGGAAATGATGATCAAAGGTTGTCGGTGTGATGCCACTGATATACATATCAAAACACATTAAAATGTCATTCATTATTTAGAAGAACCCTCCTCCCCCCGTACCCTTTTTGTAGTACTCCATCGTTTCAACCACAGCCGACTCCACAGATGAGGATGTGAAAGCCAAAATCAGAAAGGCAAGTCAGACACTTTCATCACTCTGAAATCATCAGTTTGGAAATCCTCCGCACACAGTCAGCATAAGGAACGAAATTCGGATTTTCAACACTAATGTTATGTCACTAAGTGCTTCTATATGAGTCAGAAACTTACACTGCGTGTGCGTCACGAACAACCAGCTGCAGACCTTTATCAACAACTGCCACCTTCGTTGGCTCCATACTGAAGATCAGATGGCTGGCCAGTAGGAAAGAACTACTGACTGACTGGTTTCAACAGAGAACTTTGCACCTACGTGCAGCAGTTCGAGTCGCCACACTTTACTAAGCAAACAAAGCCAGAGAAGAAAGTAAAAAGGAATGCAAAATAGAGACAGTAAACAGAGATATCAAGCAAAAGGAATAGTAATATCGAAGAACAGTATGGTCGCATTGGGTATTATAAGTCACAAGGAATGGATGCATCTGCATCAGCCATGAGAACGATTTTGAGCAATATCATCAATTGTCTCCAGCCATTGGTGTTTGCCGTCCCGAGGACTCCAACCAGGTAGTCAGTTTACACTTTCCTACATCACTGGCCAGCTGGCTGGCTGGCTCAAACTAACTGGTGTGGATTTCATTGACTGATGAAGCCATGTTTTCGTTGGACCACCAACACCACCAACAATACACTAGCTAACTCTTTTCCAACCTGATCCATCCTATGTCAGCTAACATCGCTGTCCGTCGAGGAAGGCGATGGCTAGGCATTTGCGCAACGCATGTACATATGTCTTAACCATCTCAATCAGTGTAACTTCACAGTTTCGTCAACTGATTCCCCCTCCCTACTCAGCACTCGACCAATGCCTCACCTCAATCTTACTCACCCTACTAAATACCACTTCACACGGGAGATAAGACGCAAGCACCTATGATCAAAGACACCTAGTCTTTTCATGTCTTCCACTCTCAGTGGCCAGGTCTCACAGCCATAAAGGAGGACGGAGCAAACTGCTGAGGAGTATATACACCCTTTGGTCGATAGCCAGTCGGATATCACGTCTACGCCAGGGGCGGCGTAAACTGGCATATTCGAAACGAGCCTTCTGTATCTGTGCTGAGATTTCGTCAGCGATCAAACCCCTGGCGTTGCAACTTCCCAAACAACAAGTGAAATGGGCAAAACGCTCCACCAACCACTTTATTCCCTATTTCTAAGCTAGGAGTGAGTCTATGTAGTCCAGTCCTGTAGCCTCATAGTCTTACATTTGGCGGGTGGCGAATCGCATGTCAAACATTCGCAGATTGTAGCTTGGCTCAAGGTGTTCAGTGTCTTCACCTATGTGGGAGGACTATATCATCTACCTATTTTAAGTCAACGAGATTATCTCCTGACTGTAACAAGTCAATCCCTGAGTCTCTGAAGTGAGTTAGGGTTAACTCCATTAATACATCTATGATGAAATTGAATAGAAATGGGGATAGTGGAACTCTGTAGTGCAATCAACCAATCAAGAACCTGTTGCTCAACAAATATGTCGAATAAAGTGGAGATTTATTGGACACACACCACTGAGGAGACCGTCGAATGACATTGCGTACCAGGCAGATCCTCCTCTAGTGGAAACCGAATGTGAAACGACGAATTGGGCTTCGGTCTGTCCGAAGGTGACATAGAGGAGATCGTATGGTGAGGAGAACAGAGACTATGGGGAGTCGTGTTGTTAACTAAAGAGGAGTGCAGAGAACAAGAAAAAGTGGAGATGTGCTGTTGAAGCCCATTATGTTCCAATCAAAACCCAAGGGAATAATAATAATGATAATAAATTCATGGATATTCCCCATCCAGGCATTAATGAAAAAAACACGTAGTTCAGCGAAGAGTCTCTTTTCGGTGGCGAATTCATTTTCTTAGCTGTACAATCGCAAATATATATGTGGGTTATTTCGTATGCATGTGTACATTAAGTTTGTCAAAAAAAATTACAATTGGTTATGGTTATTTTAACTAAACAGGTGAAGATTGGTAATTGGAGTTACATAATACGAAATCAGTCAAGAAAATTAGGTGTTAATGAAACTAGGGTAGTAACAAAGATAGGTGATGAGTTGTCACAAACACTTGTGCATATATCAGTTCACCTGCTGCTATGGAGCCAGCTACATTGTTCGTTCGACGCGCATCCTGTCCAAGAGGATTCAAGAACACTATCCCAACATGGTTGCGAAAAGGCGATAGTGGTGCAA